GAAGTAGACGGGTAACACCTATGATATTTTTATCATCATTAATATTAATTATTACTGTTTCACCACGGTGAGTTATCATTCAAATTCTTTAACTTTTTAAAACTTTATAAGCCGTGTTTTCCTTATTTGTTTAGATATCTCTTACAATTTTATTTAAATATTCAAAATCCTCATTTACCATGTATTCATTTATTAATTCATTTATTAAAAACATTAGAAATATGTAATTATGCATTTAATGTATTTATAAGTGTTGTCGCTGGAAAACAAGCTCGTAATGAATTATCAAAAATGTTATATAATAGTCTGATAAAGCGTTTGTCTTGTCTCGTTTTCCGGCGACGAACTACTACTATTAAATCGGGACAAGATTCTCAAAAAAATCGACATGGTGAACAACATGAACATTTTTTAGCTTCATTTTCATCTGACGAAAGAGAGAAAAAATGAACAATGAACCTCGAATAAGACGGAAAATAAAAGAACATATTCGCTAAACTCAAATGATGATGATGATCACAACAAGAGAGAATTATTAACAGCAGCAACGAAATTCGATGACTAACAGAAGGCAACAAAACATTGACGAGATCTTGTTGGAGCAGCAACTGAAGAAGACATTGGATTGATAGCAACAGTTTTTTTATAGCTATAGAAAAGAAAAGTCACAGAACACTGCTCGAACCGGGCGGACCCAACAAGTCTCTAGTACACCATTTTTTCTGTGATTCTCAAGGTGTATCAAATCCATTAAGATTTAATGCAAAAAATTTTCAATCAATTGTTCTCTGTTGTTTCCTACAGCTGAATCAATATTTGACAGGGAAAACTGACGTAACGATTAGCTAATACAGAATTAAAATGATCAACGAAACTGATATCTATTGAGGGAAACATAGGATTTATCTATTGTTTATTCCACATAAGTAAGAAGTGTATAATCAGTATGACACTTCCTCGTCGTCATTGCCTCATCACCATTGATCGAGTCATCGCTCGCAATTATTGTCTGAATTTTAGTTAGAAATAAAAATTAAGGTGTTGAATTCTCCCAAAATTCAGCACGAAATATGTTTCTGAGATTATCAAAATAAATTCTACAATCAGATGAGCTAGCTATCTAATGATTTTCTAGATGATGCCGACTGTAATGAAGCCATCGATATTTCAAATGCATTTGACTAACTTAAATGGTGAATATCATTTAAAAAACTGCTATTTATTATTCGGTGGAGTTTGCTGTTGCAGAATATCATTTTTTTGAATGCCACCGGAGCTGTTTGAAAAGACGTTGAGGTGAAAACGCATGTTTTCAATTATTACCGGATGTCGAATTTGCGTTATTAATGCTGACTTACGATGAACGATAGGTGACTGATGTTAATGTTAATGTGAACTTTTGGTGATGTAGTTTTCGGTATAATGGAGTATTTAATTCATTATTAAGTGATGAAAGTTGAGCAGTAGCACTGCTGATGGAATTGATAACGATGGCTTGACCATTCTCGAATTTCTCGTCTGTTGTATGTTGTTTTGTTAAATAGTCATGAATTTTTAATACAGACATTAAAACACATTCTTCATTGGAATATTGTTGACGTAATACCTGTTCTTCAGTTAAATGAATTGAAGAAGAAGCGATTGCTCTAGAAATGGATGATAATATTAGCTGTCGTTGTTCAGTATTAGCTGAAAGAAAAATCATTCGCTATTATTGTTCTTCAATTCTTTTTAAGATAGAATAAGCGAGAAAACTATCGCATCTTCTGCGTATAGGAATAGTATTCACTTTTGGTGATATTCTTGCCAAATTTTGCTCTGTCTGAATTACTTCACCACTTTTTGTGAACCGAGAGGAAGTTTTTAACTCTAACCGTTTTAAGCAATGTTTTAAATCTAATAATTGTTCTAAAATTCAAATATTGGTTTTGTATAACTGATGATTGTTTCTCCTTTACAATTAGAACTATAATGGGTGAGGCTGAGCGCGCAATAATTACAGTACTACAGTAATTACAGCAGCACTCGTACTATGGCATTCATCCGCCAATGTATATCTCCTTTGTTTATACTGGCCGCAATTATCCTATCACAACCAGAAAGATGCTATATCCACGAGAATTTTGTATGTCTTCATAGAAACTTTTCCTTGCCCAATCCACGAGAATAAAGGGTTTTACACGACAAATTATGCTGTTTTGCGTGACAACAATGAGTGAATACCAAACATATTATGCTTCGTTCACGAGAATTTTGTATCCCTTCATAGAAACTTTTTCTTCCCTAGTCCACGAGAATAATGGTTTTACACGAGAACTATGCTGTTTTGTGTGAGAATTATGAGTGAATACAAAACATATTATGCTTCATTCACGAGAATTTTGTATCTCTTCATAGAAACTTTTTCTTGCCTAGTCCACGAGAATGTTGTGTAATATGTTTTGTATTCACTCATAATTCTCACACAAAACAACATAATTCTCGCGTAAAACCATTATTCCCGTGGACTAGGCAAGCAAAAGTTTCTATGAAGAGAGACAAAATTCTCGTGGGTGAAGCATAATTTGTTTTGTATTCACTCATAATTCTCACACAAAACAGCACAATTCTCGTGCAAAACCATTATTCTCGTGGACTAGGCAAGAAAAAATTTCTGTGAAGAGATACACAATTCTCGTGAACGAAACATAATTTGTTTTGTATTCACTCATAATTCTCACACAAAACAACATAATTCTCGCGTAAAACCATTATTCCCGTGGACTAGGCAAGCAAAAGTTTCTATGAAGAGAGACAAAATTCTCGTGGGTGAAGCATAATTTGTTTTGTATTCACTCATAATTCTCACACAAAACAGCACAATTCTCGTGCAAAACCATTATTCTCGTGGACTAGGCAAGAAAAAATTTCTCTGAAGAGATACACAATTCTCGTGAACGAAACATAATTTGTTTTGTATTCACTCATAATTCTCACGGAAAACAGCACAATTCTCGTGCAAAACCATTATTCTCGTGGACTAGGCAAGAACAAATTTCTATGAAGGGATACAAAATTCTCGTGAAGGAAGTATAATATGTTTTGTATTTACTCATAATTCTCACGGAAAACAGCATAATTCTCGTGCAAAACCATTATTCTCGTAAACCAGGCAAGATAAAGTGTTTATGAAGGGATACAAAATTCTCGTGAGGGAAGTATAATATGTTTTGTATTCACTCATAATTCTCACAGAAAACAGCATAATTCTCGTGCAAAACCATTATTCTCGTAAACTAGGCAACAAAACATTTCTATGAAGAGAGACTAAATTCTCGTGACTGAAGTATAATATGTTTTGTATTCACTCATAATTCTGACACAAAACAGCATAATTTTCCTGTAAGACCATTAATCTCGTGGACTAGGCAAGAAAACGTTTCCATCAAGAGAGACAAAATTCTCGTGAACGAAACATAATTTGTTTTGTATTGACTCATAGTTCTCACACAAAACGGCATAATTCTCGTGTGTTCACTTCTCGTCTGTTCAATTTCTTTTGTGTTCACTCATAATTGTCAGAGAAAACAGCACAATTCTCGTGCAAAACCATTATTCTCGTGGACTTAACAAGAAAAAATTTCTATGAAGAGAGACAAAATTCTCGTGAGTGAAGCATAGTATGCTTTGTATTCACTCGTAAGTCTCACAGAAAACAGCACAATTCTCGTGTAAAACCATTATTCGCACACAAAACAGCAAAATTTTCCTGTAAGACCATTAATCTCGTGGACTAGGCAAGAAAACGTTTCTATCAAGAGATACAAAATTCTCGTGAACGAAGCATAATATGTTTTGTATTCACTCATAATTCTCACAGAAAACAGCACAATTCTCGTGTAAAACCATTATTCGCACACAAAACAGCAAAATTTTCCTGTAAGACCATTAATCTCGTGGACTAGGCAAGAAAACGTTTCTATCAAGAGATACAAAATTCTCGTGAACGAAGCATAATATGTTTTGTATTCACTCATAATTCTCACAGAAAAGAGCATAATTCTCGTGTAAAACCATTATTCTCGTGGACTAGGCAAGAAAAAGTTTCTATGAAGAGAGACAAAATTCTCGTGAACGACGTATAATATGTTTTGTATTCACGCATAGTTCTCACACAAAACAGCATAATTCTCGTGTAAAACCATTATTCTCGTGGACTAGGCAAGAAAACGTTTCTATGAAGAGATACAAAATTCTCGTGAATGAAGCATAGTATGTTTTGTATTCACTCATAATTCTCACACAAAACAGCATAATTCTCGTGTACAGACCATAATTCCTTCTAGACTAGATGCATAATTCTCGGGTAAAACCATTATTCTCGTGACCTAGAGAATAAAGTTTGCATGAAGGCATTCAAAATTCTGATGGTTTCTTGATTGAGCATCATTCTTACACAAAGGAGCATAAATCCCGTGTGGGACTAATTGAAAAGTCAAAATTGACATATCGCAATTTTTTCTCCATTCTGAAGTAAGTTGTGCTAGTTTCTTAGCAAAATTCTGGTGGGACGAACATAATTTCGCTCTGACGATTTCTCTCCCACTGCTGGGCGACATATGACTTAGTGAGTCATCTGAACGTGGTGTTGTTTATAAATTTTGATTTTCGTTGTTGGTGTTTTTTTTAAATTCAAAAACGTGAAAGTGTTATACATGATACATTTAGACGTGATTTATAAAGTTTTATTAATTCTATACTTAACAATAAATCACCTCCCAACTCTTCAAAATTATTCACAAGAACTTGATTTAACGAAAGTAGCTGCACCATATATCAGCAATAGCTTTTTGCATTGCATTGTATGTATGGTCTCTTTCTCTTTGTTCATCCCTTTTATTTTGTTAGTTTGTTCTTTATTTCCAGATTTGTACCAACACCTTTGCAAAAGCCATTCAAATTAATTTTTTGCCGTATGAGTTTATAATCAATTGAGATTGACAATTTTGGAAGCAGAATATCGATGTTAACGATTGATAACATATTTAAAACAAAGAATTGTACGGAGAAAACATCAAAATACGAAAAAACAGACATTTGTATTTTTCTCGGTTTATTTTTTTCGTATAGGACTCGAAATTGCAGTGCCATTTAATAAAAACTGTAGATAAGCTAAAAAGAATCACATCGAAGGGAATAACCCAACTGTCTATTTCTTTGTAGTTTGAACGGTGGCAAAATGAACATTAAATCAAAGCTCAATAACAGTTCAATGACTTCAAGCGATGTATGAAACTCACGCATAAAAGTGTTTTTTCCCTTTTGTCGTTTTAACATAACAGTTATGTATAGAAAATTCTTTTCTTTTATCCTCTTACAGGACAGAACGGAATAACAATTGAACTCTCCTTTTAAGTAATGTGCTAGGAAAAAACCCAGTGTTCCTTCAAATGAAAAATTCCTGACGTTATTACAAAACATGTTGCAATAATTATGAATCTATATAATAGTGAATATAATTGAGATGAAACACACATACTCATCCACATCCACATTTCAATTCACAAACGTATAGAAATGTATTCTGCTTCGGATTTTCGTCGAAATATGCCGAATTCAACTGTCCACAGTGGTGATGTTTGTCGTCATAAATATGATTGTGAATTAGCAGCCGCTGCAGCTACTTATTCACGTGGGCCAACTTATTCCGATTCAACAATGAGTCAATATGCTCGAAACATCTCATCGAAAGACAATATTCATTACTATGGTAGTACAGCATCGAATTATGGTCATGATCGTTCATCAGTTAATAAAGTGTTACAATCAGCTCATACTGGTGATCGGGTTGTTTTAAGACCGCATGAAGCATCACATATTCGAGAAGGTGCAATATGGTTAGCAGATCATAAACATGAATTTAGTCAGGGTTTTGTTAACTCGGCAGCGTCATTATATGCAAACGCTTATGATCAGAATGGGCATAAAGTGGTTGATAGACGAACATTACGGTATTGAGATCAAAATAGTGTGTTGTAGCTCTTTTTTCATTTAATATTCTAGAACAATTATTTTTATTAGGAAATTAAATAAGTAAAAACAAAATATCTGTTTTTTGATCCGAATATACTTCTTCGTGCTCTTACCGAGAAGAGTTGAGGTGAATTGTTTACTGCACTTTTCTCAAATCTTCTATTCTACGTCCTAAAGGTAAATATTACATTGTAGGCTAATGAGACGTTGGTGATGATATTAGGTACCTTACTAAACCTTCTGAATTATCTGGTACACACAGTGTAACATCACTTGCCATTTTTGACTATTCATTTAATATTAACATCTTTCTAAAGCAGTAGAGACATGCAAGATATGTAATGACAGAAGGAAACTATTTAAACTGTTTAAGCTTATAGCACTTCTAGTGTAAACTGCCTGTCTATGTATTAACTTTCTTATTTTTCATGTATTTGCTTTTTAACTTTTCATGCCTTATTGTTATACATATTATATACATAAATTCATATAGGTTGGACATCTTTACAAGAAATGTATTAATTTATGTCGCTTTTGTCGACATGCTTATTAAGTTTGTTTTCTCTTTTCTATGTGCATGTGAACTCAACTTTACTAATAAATACTAATTACTGATTGATTGTATTTGAGAAAGTGTCATGTGCTGAGATAGAGAGTGATTGGTATCAGATATCTGATGCGAAGAATACTCACATCTTTGTTGTCAGTTAAAGCTTGTTTGTTGTCAGTTGATTACTTATTCCATTAAAAGATCGAATAGTTACCAAAAGAAATTGGGCTGACAAGCAATGATATCAAACTTCCCTTATTGCACTATAAGTGTTGACGATTTCTTCTCCAATGCTTTGCAAGATTAAATTCAATATATATAAAAAAACTCCGTTCACAAAACTTGGGTACATTACAAAATGAAGTTTCTTACCATTCTACTGCTGTTCATTGTTGCTATTCCTTGTTTTGCTGACACCACAGTCTATCGTGGTACAGCATGCGGTTGAGCGGAACAATCTACCAGCCCTCCAATCTTATGCAATGGATCTGATCCGCGTCGTGCATGTCCCCCAGATCATTCACAACAACTAATCGAAAATGTAGAAGGCGATGCTTATTGTTACAAAACCAATACAACTACTCAAAAAGAAAGTTCGGTTATTGGCACACTCTGTGGCAGTGTTAGGAGTGCTCGATGTGGTGGACTCAGTCCCACTGAGAAGTGTCCGCAAGGCTACATCCAGGATGAGCGTAATGTGTGTTATAAAAGTGAGCCAAAGATGGAGGATGTGTCGGGAACAGTTTGCGGAATGGTCACTTATGGTAGGGAACAGACGTGTGACGGGCTGCCAGTGGGAAAATGTTCAAACGGATACTATTCCCTTGATTTCCACGAAGGGGCGAACTGGCACGCTTGTAGGAAAAAATAGATAATCTATTTTAGTTGCTTCTTGTTTTAATCACGAACTTTCTTTTTTATACATTAAACCACGACTTCTGTATTAATCTTTTTTTCTAAACAATATGTCTGCCAGTTATTTTTGTTTTTATTTTTGTCATAGGAAAGTTAACAAGAGAACGTGGATAATAAAAAACACCTAACAAAAACTGTTCTTATATCAAATTGGTCCTTTGTTGCTGTTCGAGTCGTCGAGTTTCGGCAATAAAATGGTTGAAATAAGTTTCAAAAATGGTTTTTAAACCATTGAACTCATTTTCATCGAATACTTCTTCAAGTTGATGTTTTCGTATCAAATCAGTGAATCCATATTTGAAGGTAGTTAAGCTATTAACAAAACAATCCGATAGGGCGCTGTGGTATATAAAGTTTCGGATTTTCTTTTCATGCAACAATGATAATACGAATTGAACATTCATGTTCAAATAAATGGATTTTTGAAATAAAAAAAGATAGAATTTCTCGTAAGTGTCTATGTCAATCGATTTACTAAAAAAGAACTTATGTTGGTTGAATTGAATTTGAGCGGCATTAAAACATGTTGCGGTTTTCACTTAAACAGGACAGTTTATGCGATCAAATTCATGTAAAACAAGCTGTTATGAACACCAAGCAATTACGCAGATGTATTTGTTAAACTGATTTCGATTAAGGTAGAAAATGTCTATCTCCAGAAATGAGCTAAATAGTTCTCTATTTAGCTTATGTAAAAAGTGAAAAAAATGAGATTCATTCTTTTTTAAAACTCATTCTTTGGATGACTACACAAAAAAAACAGATATGACTAAGAAACATGGAAACAAAAGATAATCTTGTTCTTTAGACAAGATAAAGATTTAACCACGATCAGAGAGAACCCTAACGCTGGAAGATAAAAGCTTCATATCGTAGAAACGTATGTAATTACTTTGGTTTAAGGACAAGATAAACCTAAATTATGTCTTCTTTTCAACTGAAGTATGTTTTATTTGTAGGTTAACAAAATATATTTATCTCATTTGGTTTTGAGAGTTTACTGTAAAATGTGTGATGATGCCAGTGGGAAAATATCCAAACGGATACTATCCGCTTGATGTCGAAGAAGAAGCGGACTGGCACGCTTATATGATAAAATAGATAATCTATTTTCGTTGCTTCTTGTTTTAATCACGAATAAAATGTGGCATCTAGAATCGAAGGAGTATAACTTCGACAACGACAGAGCGCATTCCCTAGTCGAGACTCCTGATTAATCTCCCGCAGGAGTCCTGGAAAAAAAGTCCTACAGGAGTCAGCAGGAGTCCTGTCACGGGATCCCGGCAGGATCCTCTGTGGAGTCATGGAGGATTTTTAAGGGATTCAAGAGGGATTCCTCAAGACTCCC